GAGTGAAACTCCATCTCAAAAAAAAAAAAAAAAAAAACGTGTTCAATAAATAATACGTTAACTCCTTGTGAAATACAAAGAATCAGTAAAACCTAGATAAAAAGTGGCTTTTAGCCAAATTTAAATGGTAAATGACATTCTGCTGCCAGAAAGTCAGTTTTATTACAGAAATTAGGAGACTAAGAGAAGCACAAATATAGTTTTTATTTTTAAATTTATTTTTTAGACAAATTTATCAAATTTAAAAAAACAAAACAATGAACATCTAAGATGCAGAAAGTGTTTAACTGGCTCATGTCATTTAAAAATGAGATAGGACTGCAACACGAGAAAGCAATGATTGCTGCAAAAACAAGACAAATCCTACCAATCAGACTTTAAGTCCCCTAATTATTGTGGAAATAGCAGAGGTTTATTATTTACTTGTATCTTCCTACCTTAAAACCTTATTTTCTGTCACAACTACCCTATTATATGAGTTAAATTTCAGAGTTTAAAAAGCATTAGAAAATGGTGAAGATATTCCTATCCCAGTCCTTTATTTTTCCCCCATGCTCACCCCATCCTTGTCCTGTAATTGAAATTAAACCTTTACATCTTTAAGAACACAAACCCACTCAAATAAAACACCAATTGCCCCCCCACATTATAGCAATGCTGACCCAATTCTGTCAGTTGCCTTTTGAACTGCTTCAAGGTTTCCTTAAGTGCTTTAATATTGTGGCTTTCCCAGACATGGAGGGTTTTGGAAACCAAGCTGATAATTCTGTGGTATGGTTTAATATTTGCTGCTTACCTACTACGGAGGCATCTTTATCACTAATGAATTTCTGAAATTCTTCCTCAGTCTTGAGAGGCACTGAAGCTGGTCCTGCCTGCTTCTTCAGGTGGCTGACAATTCCATCTTAGAAGTCAAAATAATAGTTATAGCAACACAACTTATTTATAATTTTTGAGAAGGCAATTATTCATGATTCGAAATTCGGAAGGCACAAAAGGGTATATGATGAAATTTTCTTGCCACCCTTGTCCCTAGTCACCCAGTTTCCTCCTTGTAAGATTTCAGTTTCTTGTATATCCTTTCAGACATTTTACGCATAAACAGGC